AGTTCACATATCTCTCTAGTGGTTAATGGTTTAGTCTGGGAAATTTTTTTCTCTGTAGATTTCTAAAAGGGCTCTATAAGGGTCTTTATTATTGAGAGATGTCACAAATATGATATTCTGGTGTCTTGGTGTGTGTAACTAAGTCTAAGTGAAAGGAGAACATTTAGAATCCAATGGAAGACAGTGTGGTTGAAGATGTGTCGATCAATGTTTGTGCATGCAATGTCTGGCTGGATGTTAGAACATTATTCATGACATATTTCCTGTGAGACCAACAAGGAAGTAATATGGATAGTTTGATCAAACATGTGTCAGAATGTGTGTTTGACTATGCATGTGCATGTATTGGGACTGGTTCTTTTCAGCAGAAACAATCCAGAGCTATTAAAGATGTTCAAAGTTGTTCTTCGATGGTGTACTTTGTTTTTGGTGGCAGTTCCTCCTCAAATAACATTTCCTTTTGACCAAGATTATTGCTACATTCAAGGATCGTTTTTTCCCATGTAATACTCAGCTATTTATAGAGGTTTTTCCTTTCCTTCTTCACCCTGTGAGTATTTGATGTGTCCATAATTCTTATGGATTTTGTTTGGGTTTGGGTGGGTTATGCTTGGGTCTAGTTTTGTGAAGGCCTTCTTTGTCAATTTTTGGTCAAAAAAGGGGGGGGGGGGGGGGGGGAGGGTTTGCTCAGATGGACAATTAGATTCTGTTCTCACAAGTATTTTTCAAAGATGTTGGATAAGAATTTCTATCACATGTCTGGTGCATTACTTTGTGACTTGTGAGTTTAGTTATGAACATAGTTGTGACCTGTGTTCTGAGTTACCCATGGCAGTGTTTGGATACTTCTTAAGTTTCCTCTTATGCCACAAATTGACTGGTGGTTGCTTCATGGTCCTCTTTTTCCTTCAGTTGAAAGGAAGATTTATTCATATGTGACAAGAATAGGTTCCTGGGTTAAGGGGGAGTGTAGACCTATCATCTTCCTCGTTTGGATTGGTTGCATCAAATATCTTAAGGACTTTCCTTCCTTTTATCCTGAGGCTGCTGATGTTGTAGTTTTACTGCAATGGAGCTCATTCAAAATGCTGGAAAGCAGATGTCGAACAAGATGTCCTGACATCTTATCTAAAGATTGAGTCCATGTTGTTGCTGTTGTGTTCAGTAGTTTTTGAGGACTACTGTTGGTAGATGTAATTTTTGTTATTGTTGTAATATTGAGTTGTAAATTTTATTTATTTGTTTTAGCCAAAAAAATTCCAAATGGGGAGATTGTAAGTTCTCTTGTTTTAGGATTGGCATTAAGTTTTGTAAAACAAATAAGACATCAATATGTTAGATAGGAGACGTTAACTTGCTAATAGGAACAGGTTAAGCAAGAAGTCATATCTTATGTTGAGACATGTTGAGATGAGAAGTTCTCATCATTTGGAACAACATGTCATATAAGATGTCCTATGAAGGAGCATACGATATTGCGTCTGGGCTGAAGTGGACAATAAGTTTCTATTATGTGAATATTATGCATTTCTATGTGGCGCTGAATTAAAGGTCAAGAAGAATCAAGTCAGAATATTGAAGATTATGCAGTTTCTAAATATGAAGATATTTTAGGAAACTAATGATTAAATACCATGTTTGTAGCAGAAGTTTCAGCTGGTTTGTAACATATAATGAGCTGTGATTGAAGGCCCAAATCTAGTTGGGAATAGGTTATAAATAGAAGGGTTTGTAATTTAGTGATGTAAATATTATTTTCCCATAGTATGATTGAGAGTTTGATTCACATTTTCAGTAGAATGTTAAGACATGATTGTTTATTATATCCAAGCTAAAGTTTCCCACTCAAAAACGACGAAATGTATTTTCATTAAAATCAATAAAACAAATACCTTTTTGTTCTTTTTTACAAGAGCTACGAGGTTCTGGCTTCTTCATTGCACATGGATGGTATGTAGGTATGAGGCTCTCGAAGTCTTGGCGAACCAAATATAATAATAAAAAATACTTCTTTTCTCATCTCCCTAATCTTCTTACAAACAACCGTTTTAGCCTAACACATATTTTCAAAAGGTTCCTATAGAGTACAATTGATGTGAGGGGTACTAGTACCTTCCCCTTACATAACCAACCCATGTACCTAGATCTTTTTTTTTTGGATATTATCGATATTTTCCCATTCCTTTGGAAACAATAAATTTCGGTGGCGACTCTTGCTTATTATTTTTTGAGAGTTAAGTTAATCAATAGCTTAATCTCAATTTTCCCACCGCGACACGTATATAGGTGTAGAAGGGACACATGCTAGACACGATGTCCCAACATGTTGGTACGACATTTGGGCCTCGTGAAATAGGTCATTGCTGTTGTCTTTTGGAATTTTTTTTATCAAAGGTTAGATTAGATTGTATTGCTATTGGTTTAGCAATATGATTAGCTGATTTGTTTGACAACTAGAAGAAGATTAATTCAGATTTAAATGGATATTTAAATTTGAATTTGAATTGTAACAAATCATATCTTGTTGGAGACATTTATGGAACGAATAATATCCAACAAATTATGCATTATTTATGGATGAAATCAAATATCCATGAAGAAAAGCTCATAATTATTATGCTATTTAAGGAACTCGAAACCTACATTGGACAACAAGCATTCACATTGAATATTTTAGAGTGCAAGGTTTACAAGAGTCCTTGTTATTTTATGATCCATCATCTTGTACAAGTTGTGGTGATTCTGGTTTAACTTTTCAAACCAGTTGCCAGAACATCACGCGCAACATCTTCCCCTGAGAATCAAATTTCAACATATATTTGAACTAAAATAATGTTTTGATTTACGTCTAATATACCAAGTGGTGTCAACTTTACCATGATTGAATACTTGTTTGATTAAAAATCCACTCAATTGCTCATACCAAGCTCTATAAGCTTTTTTGAGACCATAAAGGCCTCTTTTAAGTTTAAAGTCATAGTTAGGATTATCGTGATCCTCAAAATTGGGGGTTGTTAGACGTACACCTCTTTGTTTATATGACCTTTAAGAAAATGATATTTACCACCCATTTGATAAAGCTTAAAATGCAGGAAGCAGACGAATGCCAAAAAGAGTCTAATAGCTTCTTGACGAGCTACTAGAGCATAAGAGTCCTTATTGTCTATTCCTTCGGTTTGACTATATCCTTTTTCCATTAATCTTGCTTTATTTCTAGTAATTATACTATTATTTACAATGATGTTCCTGACTATGCTCGCATTAAAATCTTTGGATGTTTGGTTAATGTTTGTAGTTAAAATGTTAATAGGACAAAATTAGACTATAGGTCTCGTACATGTGTTTTTCTAGGTTTCAAAATTGGCGTGTGTTGCACCCCAAAATTTTCCCTCCTAATTTCTTTTATTTTGGCTTAGACTTTTGCATTCATCTGCATCTATTTCATTAGGTCACTAACATGACATACATTTCATTCAATATAGCTCTGAGGATTCAAAGTCCAGTGGTTGTGCGATACTAGGGTTTCCCAGTGGTTAAGGTGCTCGTATCCAATAAGGGATGATTTCTTATTCAGGCAGCAAGCTGTGGAATTAGGGTTTTGGTTCATTCTCATTTTTGAATTTCTTCTCCATCAAGCTACAAGGCTATTATCTTCTGCTGAACAATAGGTTGCAGGGTATTCCTGTCAATAATGTAATGTTGTGATCTCGCGTACATGATTCAAAACACCTCATTCTATCATTGTGCTTATCATTTGGTCAAGGTTTTGTCAATACTAGAGGGGTATTAAGATTTCTCTAAAGGATCAAGATCTGTTATCAATCCAGGATGCATATGATGCTTGCATTACAGGTTGTTGACTATGTCATTGTTGCATTAAGTTCATCTATCCTTAAGTTAATCAATCAGGATTGGGGACGTCATGATTCAAGATATTTTGTATGATAAATTTGGTTGCTTGACAGTCAAGGCATTACGAATAATTGGTACAAGCTATTGTTTAGATATTTGTACAAGAACTTTGGTTTCAAACATGGATTAAGGTTCAACTTGATAAAAAAAAGGAAATAGCATGCCCGAAGGTTTATTTCATAAATTCTTGCGGAGGAAGATGGAACATGAATATAAGTTGAGATTAAAGTACATGGTATCAAGTAAATCTCTTCATGATTCAAGTTGTTATTTTCAAGATTATCCCACATTATTGTTCATCCCAAGGTAAAATATAAAAAGATTCATTTAAATAACATTCGAGTGTTTATCATGTTTGTCTCAAGTTCATTCAAGTATCCATTCAAGCTCAAACTGAATGAGAGAAATGTTTTGAATAATTGGAAATTTTTCATGCAAGAAGTTATAACGTTTTGTTCATTACAAATTCAAGTCATTACACCAAAGTTACAAAAGACATCTCAGTCATCAAAGTTTCGCATTCCAAGTACAAATCATCATCATTTTTACAAATATGTCATCATTCAAGGTTAAAAGTCAAGGGTCTCCATTCATGCGAGTTTGAGGTGCGAGGTGTTTAAAATTGGAAGTTCAAACATCGAAATTTGAGTTTTAAGATCCAAAGCATGGTGTACAAGTTTGTTTGAACCAAAGCTCTTATAGGAATATGGCATACAAGGGAAATTTTGATTCAAGTTCTTGTGAAAACACATAAGACACTCATCATGGAGTACCATGGATTAAATTTGAGGTCGGATGGATAGAATCCTTAATTTGACTAAAAAGTGATCAAGGCCTCCATTTACCGAGAGCTAAGAAATTTAAAGAATGTTTAGAAGTATCATAATTCAAGAGGATTCATCTTGCAAAAAACTCATAAATAATAGACATGGAATGTTGAATTGTAGCAAGTTTCAGCATATTCAAGTTCTACCAGTTACATCTCATTCAAGCCTCTGCTTTGACTACATAATTCTCAAAACATACAAAAGGCCACAAATTTACAAAAGAAATAAAATTTCTATTACAAGTCGGAACTATTCCCATCCATGGTCATTCAAATTATTCAAAATCACTCAAGTTCAATCATTCGAGCGTCTTTCATTCACTCATATTACAGTATATGTCATTTCGAGATTACAAAACAGAGTTACAAAGGTCCAAATAAACTTTTACAAAAAAAAAGAAAAAAGGGAAAAACATGGGAGAAACTTCAACTTGCTGCAAGGGTTATTGTTGCAATTGAGAATCCTCAGGATATTATTGTTCAATCTGCTAGACCTTATGGACAGAGAGCTGTTCTCAAATTTGCTCAGTATACTGGTGCTCATGCTATCGCTGGAAGACACATTCCTGGAATTTTTACTAATCAGCTTCAAACTTCATTCAGCGAGCCGCGTCTTCTCATCCTCACTGACCCAAGAACTGATCACCAGCCAATTAAAGAAGCAGCTCTTGGGAATATTCCCACAATTGCTTTCTGTGACACTGATTCTCCTATGCGATATGTTGACATTGGAATTCCTGCCAACAACAAAGAGATAGGTAATTGAAGAAAGGAATCCTAACATAAGAGTGAGAAGGTTAACACCTTTGCCTTCATCTCAAGCCTCTTTTGGCGCCATTTGCATTAAGGAATCTCGAATCTTCAATCTACTAAGGTATTGATCCGGCTTCTATGGAAAAACAAAGCTCATTCTCATGAGGAAACTCCTAGCCCGTCCACAGTTCAGCCCTGCATAGAAAGATTAAAAGGCAAAAATCAATAAACAATTAACAGTTCAGTTCTAAGAAATTGTAACAAAGCAAGCATTGCTGTTCATTATATTGCTTCAGTACGTTCCTAGATTTCTTCGAATGGTACCATTAACCTTAGAACTTAAGAAAACAGCTGGTGTCTTTGTTGAAACTGCATGGGCAGTGATAATGAGTGCAACAAAAGATGAAGCTCTGAGAGCCAAAGAAATTGCTGAGAATAGATTGCAGACTGTTGATTTTGCAGTGGCACTGAAGTTTGCTATGAAAGATCAGCGACTGTTTCCTGATACCCAGAACATTACTCAGATCATTACTATTTATGAGGTTCACTATGCTTCTCAGAACAAACTCTCTACATCTGATATGAACTGGTATGGAATTCTTCTAACTGATAAATTTTCTAAAGAAGCAATGATAAAGAGACAGTATAGAAAACTTGCACCGCTACTTCATCCTGATAAAAATAAATCTGCTGGAGCAGAGGCCTCTTTCAAGTTGATTGTGGAAGCTAACAGAATATTGAGTGACCCAGCAAAGCGTTCTTTATATCACATGAAGATTAGCCGCCTTGCTGGAATTAAAGCACCTCAGGATCCATCCTATCACCATAATCTTCACACTTCTTCAACACAAATCCCGCTGGCCACTTGGAACTCAACCTGTAAAATCGCATAAAAACAATCCACAATCAGAACCAAAACTAACGAGCCAATAACATAACCTTCAGCTTAGCAAACTAACCAATTCTTAACTGCATCCTAACAAACTCTTAACAAACTGCCAAAACAGAAATTCATAATTCCAAAACAACCAATCCATAACTAACCTTTTCCTAACTGTTTTTAACTAACTTCTAACGACTTTCAAACGGACAACTAACTCCTAACAAACTTAACCATCTAACTAACTCTAAAACCAAAAATAGAATTTTATGAAAGCTCCCTCCAACTCTCTCATCATATATACATAATCAGGTTCATTATTCAGAGGACACACAGAAAATTTCTCAAGAAAATTCAGAAAAAGTTAGAGAAAAATTTACCTCTTTCATGATTCATTCTGCAGCATTCTGGAAAATCACCCAGAAATTTCTTCTCTCTTTCTCTGCAATAACCGCATCAACTTCAATCATCATCAACCTCGGCAATTGATTCACCAACACATATTGATCATCTTTATTGCACATCGTCAACTAGAAAGAAATCACATCTTCTTCACGTAGCTTCACTCATCTTTGTGATCTTCAAACTCGTTTCATCGATCTTCTTGAATCAAGTCAGTGATCTGCATCCAGAACAACTCTAACACAATAACAACAACAGCTGCATTAACAAAGTCAACATCAATTTTCTTCTTCATCACATCGGAATAACTAACACAAAGAAGAGGAAGAAACATTGAGTAATCAAAGTACACATCATACCTGGAGATCAAAGCTTCTGGTCTTCCATTCATCTTCGTCAAATTTGAAGAGGCACCAGATATCTTTCCGCTTACGATACATAATCGAGGCAAGCAGTGTTCATCGAAGGTTCTGTGTTGAAGAGAGCGAATAGCAAAGCCGTGAGTGGAGGATGTGTGACGGCGTGTTGAACGGCAGCAGAAATCTGCGAAGAAGATTGAACAAAGAAGCGGACATCGTGGTTCACATTCGAAGAAGAGGATCATCGCAATTTGAGTTCGATCAGAGAAGAGGTTAATGGAATTTGATGAACGATAAAGAGGAAATAAACGAGAGTAGGAAAAGATGAATATACCTGAATTTGGGGATTCGATTTATCTTCGGCGTGCTGGAAGTACAGTCGGAGCAATTCCGACATGACCTCCTCAAATTCCGATCTGGCTCATAATATCGAATTCGTTCTCGAATTCTTCTCTCAGGGATTCCATTTCCGCTATGTTTGTTGTTATCACCACTTTGTTCAAATTGTACGGAGGGTGTGAAACGAGTAGTGGTTTGGAACTTATCGAAGAATATGGCGAACCGTGTCTAACCGTGTCTCATGCCGGTGTTGTTCGCCCTTGTTTAAAGTTGAAGACGAAGGCAAGTTCAAGCTAAAGCATATGGGACCTTGGATGAAGAAATGAGATCGAGGTCAAAGGTGATGATGACCACGACGGCGAGAGATTGAAGAAGAACGAAACAGTAGCATCGAAGACAAAGGTGAGCGGAGCTTCGACACCGGAGTTTGATGTATGAATCGAAGCAGCGGAAAAGAGACGTGCGGCGCCACCAAGCTTTGTGAGAGAGATGAAGAGACGGATTCTTTCCTCAACCCTAAACCCTTTTTTTTAATTTCACATGTTTATTCCTTTTAGTTTTAATTACTTTATTGTTTTCTTTTTTTAAGTCAAATTAATAATAATGCTGGAAATTAGAGAAGAATGGGACTTGTTGGACAGGGCAACCCCTTCTTTTGGGTCCATTAAGAATTTTTGACAAAACTTAAATAATTGAAAGAAGAAAAAAAACGCTTATGGGCTTTTCAGCATGGGCCAGCATTATTCACGCTACTATTTCAGTCCTCACACCACCTTGTTTCATGTTAATTTCATCATAATCCTTTGATTTTCTAGCAATTAACATTGATATTTCCTCCCATGATTTTTTGCTGGAATTTTGTGTGGGTATTAATATGTTGATTCTTGACTTGATAATATTTTTTTCATAATTTTTCTATTGGTTTAGGAATTAATTGAATTAATGTTTGGTACATGATTAGAATTAGGACTTTAGCACATTCTTGGTGATTCTGTATCTTCGATTAAATTTCTTTGGTCTACTGAGTGGTTTAAGGGTTTCAACAGAGATTTCTCGTACAATGAGTCATTAGCGGAGTATTTTTTTGCCTTGTATAAATCTTATATCTTCATGCAGGACTATCACATGATGATTCAGATCTTATTCGAAGTTTTCCAGGCTTCTCTGCTTTGCTTGTTATTTACGAACTCTTATTCGCCTGGTATCTCCACAACCTCATTTTATTCCCCATTCTCGTACTTTATTGCTTTTCTAGAAATCAGGAGAAACAGGACTTTACTGCAAGCTATGCATGCGAACATCAGGTAGAATTCCTTTGAAACATATAAATTTAGGTCTAATACACAATAACATTAGGTTTAGAAATAAGCTAGTCCCCCTTTGACTTTTCTTTCCCTTTCGCATATGTGTCTAAAACTAAAACTTCCTTTTTTCAAAAGAATTCAAAACACTTTAAAACTACTGATTCGAATCATGCTTTTGCTTAGTACGGGAAATGATAAGCGGGTCTCTTCTCGATCTTATCATTCTTATTCTAAGCTTCGGCGTGGTTCAAGTCTCAAAGACTCATTTCACGAATAAGTAGAGATGTGGCTAAAATCTCTCCCTTGAGATTAACTAGTTATTCTCTACAAAGCGAAAAACACCAACAAACATAAAAATCTTTTTGCCCTCGGGCCTTTATTTCAAACCCTTTTCAAAAGAGCGTATTAATTCACTTATGTGCTAACGCGTAAGTCTCCAACGGTCGAGTTGCGGCAGAAGGTGAAATTAATATTGTTCATTACAAACAAATAAGTTCAAACCTTTTTTGTGCGTCCAGGCACATTTCTTTCCAAACTTTTCAAGAGAGCATGTTAATTCACTTCTGTACCGACGCGTAAATCTCCAAAGGTCGAGTTGCGGAAGAAGGCGAAATTAATATTGTTCAATAAAAATACAAACAAACAAAAACTTGTTAGCCGAACTACGGTAGCTCTGATTCCTCAAAACGGATACGTAGGCATTGGGGTAGGGCCCAAGCGAGCACAATTTTATTTTCCCTACATTCTTTTCCCCTTTCTTTTGCATGCATTCCTCCAGTAGTATAGTAAACAGTAAGCATAGATTAAACACACCCATAAGATAGATAACAAGAGTGGATACCGTAGAGTACTACGGGCGTGTGGGGTGCTAATACCTTCCCCTCACGTAACAGACTCCCTTACCCGATCTCTCGGTCGTAAGACCGTGACTTCTCCCTTCCTCAGGTTTTCTCGATGTTTACCTTTCCCTACATGTGGGATAAAAGACGTTCGATGGCGACTTCATTGTTTTGATGATTTTTAGCCGGTTGTTTCAGCTGGCGACTTCACTGGGGACAGGTCGACCAAATGCTGGTCCATCCCGGAGTCGCTCCTAGCTCTTGCTTTCTTTTCTTTGGGTGTTTATTGTTATGCTTTCAGTTTACTCATTTGTACATGTTTGCCTGAGCATAAGTTTGCATTGCATTTTATTGCTTTCCCTATTTGTTATCTATTATGCTGGACTCTGTTTTCCATGTTGGGTGGGGATGTCACTATTGAGGTAAAAGGCCCAGTACCCAGGCCAGAGTGCACTAGGACACTAAGAATAGAGTGGGGGCATGACGGCTATAGGACGTGGTCCGATTAGTGCAGTCTTGTCATATACCACGCTCGGATGAGGTTAAAATGAATTACTATCGGCACCCACGTCTGTGGGTAAGCCCATAGTGCTTTCAGGCGGACCCGTGATTTTCGAGTTACCATTGTCTTACCCTGAACTAGTCTTCACCCGTGAGTGGGAAGGGATTTGTCATTACAGGTACAGTTGGTGCTATGTTCAAATGGTTACTCATGCTCAGATGGAGACTGTGATCGGATGGTGATTAGTGGTTCTAATGATCATGTTATGGACTTCTGTCAATGACTTATGCATATGGTGTTCTGTTGGTGACCATATGGTTCTCAGATTTATTTTTTGAGTTCCTAACTTGCTTACTTGGAAGTTCATCCAAGCCTTTAATCTTGGTATTCCCAGCATATTAAGGAATACTCAACAGTACCTGATGTTCCTGAAGCCTTGATCTCATGCTACTTAGATCTACATAGTACTTAGATCTTATATGTGCAGAAGTTGTGCCAGACCTCTAAATTGGTGATATTCATTTGGTTCAGAAGCAGTGCAGCAATCATACCCAGAAATGATGGAACCTTGAACCCATTTGATCTCACGCCTTTGCATACATAACATGGTTGACCACATACTTAGCATACATGTTCTATGATTTCCAAGGAATCGTATTTTTAAGCCTTATGCCAAACTTTTCCATACGTAAAATCAAAGCACGTAAATTCCTTGGGAATGAAGGGACATAACATGGCATCTATTCATGCACTCCATGTATATTCATGCATCCATAACAGGTACTCAAAGATTGGGGATTCTTATTCAGACATGGTTCTCCGCGGAGGTTTAGCTTTGATTTCTTACTGCACTTGTTCAGGGATCGGTTAGGGAATAACTCCATATGGTATACCTACAAGCTTTGGTCTGTGGTCAGAAATTTCTTCGAACAGGAAGATAATTGATTAAAGACTCAAGATGAACCAGGTCATGGAAGCTCTAATGATGATTAATAAACTTATGGCTGCAAATCTTATATCGGTGCTTCGTTTTTGACCAACGTCAGATATGGTTGCCACACTGGGGCATCATACCTTTTAACCAGGAGCATCCTCCATAACTTTGTGTTCCCTAATTTGTTCAACAAGAGCCAGTCTTTATTCCCCAAGTAAATCCAGGGGGCAAAGCTTTTAAGCCAAGACACAAGAACCCTGATGAGCATGCTGATGCAAGCTAAATGCATAACATCCTAAGTATTCCCAGTTCTTCCCAGCTCTGATCTTTGAGGACTTCCTCCCACAAACGTCTCTTCTGATGACGATATGTATGCTTGATACATCTCCTATTCTGGGGTACCCGGTTTTGATATTAAAGACTACCAAAGGGTTGAAACATAAAGTCCAGCACCTGTTTGGCGTCTCTTCCAAAGGTCCAATTCCTTTTTGGCCGATTGTCACGCTCTCTTTCACCAGGTGGATATCTCTTTTGTTTTGATAGAAGATAGACTGTATTAGTTTTTTATGGCGTAGTATGCCTGATGATGCAGTTTTCACTTGAAAAATCATTCAGTTGTTCTCCTGAAAGAATCTTCTAGGCATATTATTCTGGGGCAATTTATCATTCGATTGAAGAGAGTACGTCATCTAGAGACGAGGTCTAAAACGAGATCAATATGGAGACTGTGGTGTCCAAATCTGGAATTCTCTCACTCACCTCACGCATCTTCATGACCCTTCATGCATCCATAGCAGGTACTCAGAAGATTCAAGTTATGAAAAGAATCAGATGGGGCTGTTTATTGGGGATATGCAAACGGTGGCCTGTAGTCACAAACCCTCAAGGAGAAATAGCCAGTTGAAGACCTAGTTGAGTCGGGTATGGAAGTTTTGAAGACAGTGTCGGCAAAGAAAAGTGATCTTGTTTACATTGTTGCAACAGGAGCTGTCACTCATCCCCAGCCTATGGGACTTTTTTTAAATCATGAGATACTTTGTGGGTCTCACCCAAAGCTTCGTGTTCTCGGATTTTCTTGCTAGCAGCTAGTTTCTGGTATCCAAGTGAACCCATGAGGTAAAACTTACCATCAGAGACAGAGAAAGCTTGAGAAACAGGTTGATACAATATTTATACCTTGTATCTGGTTACTTCCTCGTGGTGTTGGAAGCTCAGTTGATTAAGCTTCGCGCTTTGAACCATCCTCCAACAAATTTCTCTCCTGATTTTGATACAAATGCTTGATGTGTCTCCCGTTCTGGGGCATTTAGTCAAGATATTGAATACT